AATTTGGAGATTCCTCAAAAGTCTACAAATAGAACTACCATATGATCCAGCAATCCCATTCCTTGGCATCTACCCAAAGGACAGAAGAATTCTTCATTGGAAAAGTGCTTGCACGTCGATGTTTATTGCGGCACTTTTCATGATTGGTAAGACATAGAACCAACCCAAATGTCCCCGTACAGATTAATGGATTGAAAAACTGTGGCAAATATACTCTATGGAATACTATTCAGCCATAAAAACACAACAAAACCCTGGCTTTTGACAGAAAGTGGCAGAATATGGAAGATTCACTGCTGAGTGAAGCAAACCAGGTTATGAAGGAGAGACACTGTATGTCTCCACTTAATATATACCGAGTGTCCGCACTCTGTAACAGAAACTGATGGGCTAAAGGATGTACAAACACAAGAGATGGGTGTGAATGCCAGATGTGGTGTGTGTGAAGTAGTGCCTGGGGAAAAACATTTGGAGGAGGGGTACAGAGACAGTATTGTTGAGACAGGGAGGTAGTATTGTTATATTTTGATCAACTGGACCAGGGAGAAATGTTCACATATTTAAATGATCACCTTATAAGCTAAATAATGTGATTGACTGTATTAAAAAATGTAAAAAAAATTTTTAAAAATTAAAAATTAAAAAAAAAAAAGAAACTGACTCCAAATGCTAACTCCTAAATGCCACATTTACAGTCTTGCAACTGTTCCCTTCTTAATAGCTGTATTTAGGTCAATAGAGACTTCTTTTTTTTTTTAATGTTGCTTTATATTTGTTAATTTGATTTTTTCAATTCTTTCTCTGTATTTGTCATAGAGGGGAGCATTTTCAGTTTATACTCAATCTGTCACTTTAAATTAGAAATCAATATTTTGATCCTTTAATACAACCACAAAACCCAGAAGTTTGTGTTAACATAATGATTACTAAATAATAACTAGTAAAATATGGAGCTTGCCTTTGCTCGCAACTCTTCTATTTAATTTTTTTCTTTTTAATTTTTAAAAATGGTTAACATTGGGCTCGCCCTATAGCATAATGGTTGGCTTATAGCAAATTTAAAAAATAATAATAAGTAAAATTAAATAAATAATTATTTAAAAAAAAAAAAATCTAGATCCGGCATGGCTGATTGTGGTTTGAATCCCAGCCCCAAGAGCTTGGAAAATACATCAGACATTGTGTGTATGCCCCAAATCCTGACAGGAAGAAGAAATGGAGAAGGGATTACATCATGATAATGACCAACAGGGGGTGCTTTCTCCATCCTTCCAGATCTCTTGATCTCTAATGAATGCCCACACTCATTGGCAATTTTAAAAATAAAATAAAATAAAAAAGGCTAACGTTTATATAGGTCATAAACTAAAATCAGATCTTCTCCTCAGTCTTGTAATTTTGGCATATTTAACACAAGCATGCTCCCCTCTGTGCATATGGTATGGTTTGTTGTAAGGCATTCTCTATGGGCTGTTCTGAGAAGCTCTCTCATGTCAGACTATTTATGGTGCCCAGATACCACAGTGTGTCGGCATGCCTGTATATGGGTACTGGCAGCTAATCAGAGCACAAGTGAATAAACATCTATTTAACTTTTATCTTCATTATGGTGTATGTCATGGATTGTGTTATACCTCCCTAAATTCATATTTTAAGCCCTAATCTCCAGTGTGACTGTATTACTCATAAAATAGTATTTAAGATGAAGTATATGGGTAACTCCCTAATCCAGAAGGGCTAGTGTCCTTATAAGATACCTTCTATGCACTAATAAAATCCATGAGGAAAAACAGGGAGAAGACAGCTATCAACAAGATGGAAAGAGAGCCCTCACTCTTAAACAAACCCTGAAGACACCTTGATCATGGGCTTTCAACCTCCAGAATGGTAAGAAAATATATTTCTATTGTGTAAGTCAACAGTCTGAGATACTTCATTATGGTGGTCCCAAGTAACTTACACAGCATGCACTTTCTCACCTGTGACCTTCTCCTTTCTTCAGAGACAGACTCTCTACTCT